AGGCTATGATGGCATTTAGGTTTCTATTTTGGTTTTAGTCTCCGTTCGCTTTATAGAAGTGGTTTGAGATCGTTTTCATAAGTTGATTGTGTGGTCAGAGGGACTTAGAAGAGTACACCTTGTCCAAAGTCCTCAGTGATAGTAGCAATGATAGTTTCCAGCTTCAAGCCGTGGACTATGGAAAATTCCTAGTCTTTTGCCAGCATCGATCCGCATATACTTTAGCTTCCTTGATTTATGAAAAATTTCCCGTCCTTGTAATTCAATCAGCTCCCTATGATGCAAGGAATCTACCAAAAGTCATGCCCAGCAAAGTGATCCCATCTCATTGAAGTGAGTACACCTGACCAGAAAGGATAGCTCTTATTTACTAATTAGTGATAGTCTCACAAACGACTCATAAAGACAAAACTCGTACATCTGCTCGGTACGAAGGAGAGCAGCATGATTCACTTTAGGCAGGTACCAGATGCTGCGCCGTGGAAGTAAGGCATTGCTGCGTGAACGGCTTAAAAGTGTATGCCACACTTTTGGCTGCATCGACGAAAGTGGTACAGCAAGCCAATATGGAGACAGGAAATGGGTTTTCCTTAACTAGTTGCAGCGAAACTTAGCAAATAGCCTCTTGTAGCGATGGCAGCAAACTGGGTCTCGAAGTGTATACGCCGCTCCACGCACATCAAATTCCATCAGTTTCGGGAATCTAAGACATGCATAAAATGGCCAACTAACTTATGACTGGATCAGTGGAAGGAAGTCAAGAGCAATGAATACGTGCTTAGCTAGAAGCAAGCAATTAGGAAATATGAAGAGAAACTGGGTTTCGTAGAACCCCTCAATAGAACTACGATGGTATAGCTTACATTGTGTTTGAAAAGGCGGGAGAAAACGATTTGTAAATTGGCCTCACCGAGTTACCGAAGGAGGATTGTCTTGGACCGAAGACTACTGGATTATGCGAAGAAGACCTTGACTCACCGTTCCTCGAGACTGAAGAATCAGTGCCGAGGCTTCCTGAGTTCTGTGATAGAACACATCGTCAAAGTCAGAAACCACCATTTACGAACAATCGTCAAAGAACACTAAACCAAGAACAGTGGCCGATTGAAGTCCAATTAATCTCATATGCGTAACTTTGCGAGCCAAATAAGACATAAGAAGTCCATAGGATTTAAGTTGGCTGATTTTCATGTTTTTGTGTGATTATGTTGGTTAGACCTTGTTTTCGCAACTTGGTTGCATCACTAAACCAACTTGTAGCTGCAAAGTCTTAGGCGGCATTAAATGAGAGCACATAATTGTGTGAATAAGTGGAGTTGAGAGTAAGAGATGCGGCACTAGAAGGTAGAACAAGAAATGGGAGCGAGGAATGATGCCACAACGATTGAAGAGGAAATTGATCGAGGGGATTTCCTTCACTTGCCAATTAGAAAAGTTGTAACTCTGTGCCTACAATGACACCTCTCACTGACGATACCGGCGAAACGTTTGGGCATGTACCCGGCCAATGGTCCAATTCTGGAAATCATCAATACTTTGGCAGAGGATACAGAACTAGACACGTTTCACAAGGTCTCTTTGACGCTCCGAGGAAGTTGCGGAGACAAGTTCGAAGCAACTCTATAAAAGCGGGTTCACTTCGTTCTCGCAACTTGGTCTTGTTGTCATGGCGACTTAGTAGAACGCACCTAGTCCAAATTCGTCTGCCATGGTAGTTGTCATGATATTTTGACGAGTTCGTAGCTTGGTGCCGAGAATGGCAAAACTCACTGAAACGTTTGAGAATGTACCAAGTCCACTGTCTGATGCTGGGAATCATGACAACTACTATGACAGACGACTTCGGACTAAGTGAGTTCTACTAAGTCGCCCTGGCAACAAGACCAAGTTGAGACAACAAGGTCAACCAATTTGTATAAATCGAAAGAAGACTGGGACCATACCAGAGGCCACACCATGTTAGTCTTCATATATACGATCTTTTTTGGCTTCTGGGTCCGACGATGTCCTTCCCACGAAGAGCGAGAGCCTAGTGCGGGTCCATATGGGTCGACATATTCTTCGTACAATCCAGCAGCCTCAGGCCAATCCGGTGGCGCCAATTTACGAATCCCTTCCAGTCATCTTTAAAAGCAAAATGAAAGGTAGGCCAGCCTCAATCGTATAGGAACACTCACCAAAATACTAAGCCAATAAAGGTGATCGACTGTAAATCTTCACATATTTTATATCCATTTTTTGATTTTGATGAGTTAAGTTGGTATAACCTCGATTTCATAAAATGGAGGAGGCGACATGTAGACCTTGTGAAAGGTACCCATTCCTTTGCTCGTTTCCAGCATCGGACCGTTAACTTGGTGCATTCTCAGACGTTTTGTTGACATCTTTCGTTCAGTCTAGTCACAACCTGCATTTTAGCAAAGTCGCTATTTCTCATTGTCTACTAGAGAGTTTGACAACAAGTATACCGTAGCTTAGTACTGAGAATAGCAATATTCACTGATGATATCGACTATGATGCCGGCGAAATGGCTGAAAATGTACCAAGTCAACGATTCGACACTTAGAATTATGATAACTACTATGACAATGGACTTTGGATAAGATGCTTCCAACTGGATCATCCTGACAACACGACCAAATTTTGAAACGAGGTCAAACCACTTGTATACATCAAAAAGAGACTGTGATCAAAATAGAGGGCATAACAATTTGCTCTTCATACCTAATAAATGGGAAGGTTGGTTTAGGTTTTGGTGAATTCTTCGAAGCGATGATTCATAGCTTTGAATATGTTCGTCCAGGAGGACAGACGGCAGTTCAGCACGGACTCATCGGGAAGAGGAACGCTGTAATCAGGACTTCTTTACACAAATTCCGTCAAAAATGCAGTGCCTCTATTGCCAAGGCCAAGTTACGTATCAGTTTCACCAAAATTTACGAATTAAATGAATATCGAAATCTGTATCTCATGTCAGTATGTGCTCATTTGAGGAGAAAATTGTCACGGTTTGAGTTCAAGTTGAAGATGCTGACCAGACCTAGACGAGGTCGAACTTGCAATCTAGCCTGGATGAGAATACCTGCAAGGAAGTAAGGCTGTGTGAAATTTACTAGAAACATGAAGCCTACTCATCACCCTGAACGAAATGTGATGAGTAGAGATCTTATAGAAAAATCAGCCCCACTGTGGAGTAACAGTGCTAGTGGTATCAGTTGCGCAAAATGGGACAAATCCATAAACCTTGAGGGCCATAGAACAGCTTTGCTCAACTTGAACCAATTTCGTCACGGAAGAGGCATGCCATGACATGCCAGGCTGACGACTTGCAGTGGTGCTAAATTACATTTCGAATGTGCATAACGACATTTAAGGCAACAACAAATTTATCATGAATATGAACTGTGTTTATCCTATTTCGTTTAAGGTGATGAAGGACTGACAGTTGAATTTTCCCACAATGATATGAGTAGAGTTGATGCTTTCATTGGATTTCACATAACCTAGCTTTCCGAAAAGGTATTCACATACCGGCTGGAATGGACTACACTTTCAACCTCGTCCTAGGTCTTATCAACACCCCCAGCGGGACTCTAACCATGACAGAGCAGCGTGTAATCTCGGCACCTTAACCACCTTCAGAGGGCAGATGTGAGTTTCAAGGAGGGCCAGGCATTTTCCCATATTGCATTCTTTGGTGGGATTATCGATGGAGCAATGTTATAGTTGCTATAACTATCAACTACATAACTTGTAGTTTTTATGTTTTTTTTTTCTATTTGAGTGTCTTTTTGTGCTATCACAATATTTTATTATTACCCGCCAATTTTGAGTCTATTTTGCCCGCAATTTCGGGTTATTCTAAAATCCAACTGCCAGTTAATCCTCCTCCCCTTCCCAATTTTCCATCACATGTGAACGCTTCTCTTGTACAGACAACATTTTGCTGTATCAACTGACCGTGCATAATCGCGTTGGCAGTACGGCCGACCCTGGCGTAGCCAGCATGCCCCTTCGGCCTCGAGGGGAGTGGCGCAGGCGACGCAGACGAGGCAGGTTGGATGCCAGAACTGATCGGGCGCCACATGCAGCAGATAGGGCGCCGGCTCGAGGCGATGGCAGCAACCGGAGCAGGGGGGCAGCAACAGCAGAGGACCTGGCTCGGTGGAACGAGTCACTACAGCCGTGGAAGCAGTGGCCGTTGAGATGAGGCTGTTGAGCTCAGAGCCGGTTGCTACAGCCGACTCGAAAACGGCTTGACCGGAGATGCCCGATGCATCCAGACTGCATGGCGGTATCCAGGCTGTTGGTAGACCTGAGGCGGGAAATGGGATGGAGGCGTGGAGCAGCATCCCCGAGGATAACCTGGCAGTATGAAACCCAGGTCTGGAAGGCATGATGCAGCAATAGAAGCAGTGCGAATATCTTATTGCTATAAACACTTGTTGACAGTCTTCAGAGCTGCGGTAATTAAGAGGTTGCATTTTTGAACAGAACATATTTACAAAATAATGCCAAGAAAAATTGGGTTTTGAGGAATCTCTTCTTTTATA